ACTCATACTCATACACACACACACACACAGAGAGGGCACTGTATACCGTACATTATGGTATTTAGTGGTTGAGTAAACGGCCATGATATTTTAGCGAGTGCTATTTCCTGAGCACCATTTTCTCTCTCCTATTGGCTTTTCTCAAAATTTCCCCTGGGACGCTGTCCCCTGGGTTTGGTTCCATGTCAGAGACGCAGCAGCCATGATAGTTCATCAGGCTTCTGCTCCATTATTGGCACCAGCGCACCATATCCTCTTAGCAGTTATCCTCTTAGGCTGCATCCCAAATGGCACCCTTTCCCTATACAGTGTACTACGTTTGACCAGGGCCCATAGGGCTCTGGTCAAATGTAGTGCACAGTGTAGGGAATAGGGTGCCATTTGGGACGTAGCTATAGCTTTTCAATTTTCTTTTGATCTGCTGAGCCCAGCAGAACTGGACATATGGCAATACCTGAGCTTGGTAAGTCTGATATGACTATAAATCTTTATGCTATTGGCCTGGTACAGCCTGTTCTGATACCTTGTGATTTTACTGGCTTACATAAAATAAAATAAAGTGCTATCTAAATCATAAAATAGATCAAACATTGTCATAATTAGTGAAGGCAGTTTGACATGACAATGTTACAGTAGATAATGGCATTATCATAATGCTATGGTAGTGCTGTACTATTTCACCTTATCCCTCCTCCCCCACCTACTCAGCAGACACAATCAACAGCCCACTAAGTGTCAAGTGACAGATTACTCTCTCTCACACACACACTTTGGGGCGTGTTCGAGCAGAGCACTTTTGTGAAGTCGTTGGCCATCGTTGGTCACCACCTTCCAAAGTGTGTTGCATTATGGGGATAAAAATGGTCAAACTTGCGCCTACATGACGACTGCATGAACTTTACAAAAATCATGTGATCAAAGGTCATGAAGTTTTGATTGCAGTCGACTACAAGTTTCTGCAGTTGCTCTTCACTGACTTCATCCTGCAGCCATCGCCTGCATTGTGGGATGCTCTTTTGTCAACCAATCAATCGTTCTTTTTTTGTTTGACTTGTTTGGATATACAAACAAATGTGATATTTGAGGCTCTCCCTCACTGATTGATTGTAAAATGTACACATATATTTCAGTTTGTGAGTGCGTGATATGGGTTTGGAGACAACAACAAAAAACACATTAGTGTCTGACTTTCAGCTGTCACAGTTGCACCTCCCCTGACTTTCGTCTACAGTCGTTTGCTTTAGCCTTACCACTCAAACACACCCATTCTCTTTTCCACATTAATCATACCCACTCTCCACATAGACAAGGGAGGCGCTGCAATTGTTGAATCCCCTCCCACACAAAGACACCCACACCTGCTCTCAATTTTTTTTAACCATAGCAACCATAGAAACAGACATGGACTGTATCCCTTCTCCAGTCTCGAGATATAGAACAGTAACAGTAACAGACATGTTAGAGTATTGTATCATTTTCAGCTCCTCATCATACCATAGATTCCATTACTAATTAATGTTAAGGGTCGACCCTCCTTCTCCTTGCAGGAAACCTGAGCTAGATCAATAGGAATGACCTTAGGCTGGTCTGGGCAATGTTCAGGAGAGTGAACACAATGTTGAGATAGAAATGTATTGTGTAGAACAGACATGGTTATCTGACAGGTAGAAAAGGGGGATCATTTTGGCTCCGTTCATTACATTTCTATCTGCATGCAACGGTCTGAATGTTTCACCTCACTGAATAAGGGCTCTATTGAATCTGTATCGTGGAAGTTCAGCGTTACACCGTGATGGAGATTTAAAGGAAATGTTCCTGCGTTAGCGGAGACTGCATTCATGGTAAACGCTGCATATGTCTGCTCAACTGGAAATGCCCTTTATATTTCTATCGCACAATCTGCAACGCTTCAGCGTAGGGAATACTGATTGATCTCTTCAGGCTTCATAGCTTTTTTAAGTCCGGGATTCAATCCGAAACAGTGCTATAGCACGCTTGACATTTAAAGGTAATTTCCAATTGAGCCTACATTGTTACAGTAGGGGGTCGGAGTTCTGGAGCGACCCACTAGGTGTCATCCTCCGACAACCTTAGGCACCTCCTTACTCACAGTCTGGACTAATCATCATCCTATTGGTGTCACCTGTGTCTACCTGTTCACCTGTGTATTTATGCCCTGTGTGCCCTGTGTTCCCTTGCTCAGTTTTCTCTGCTAGTTTCTCTATGCTCAGCAGTACTAATCAGTGTCTGATCGGAGAAGTATGTACAGGTACTCGAGAAGTGTTCTCCCTGTTTCTTTATTATTTCAGTCATAGGTACTATTTCGTATTTTGGCTGTCAGCCTGTTTTTGGAGACTTATTTGCTCCACCTTTCTTTTTTAGTGTAAAGTCCGTTATTTTGTATCCTGGCTTCGGGACCACCTGTAAAGATCCTTGTTTCACCATCTCTGCCTACTGCCTACTGTCTATCCTGCACCACACCTGGGTCACACCTCACACCAACCCTTACATTACATCTGCAGCGTTTACCTTGAATACAATCTCTGCAAACTTTAAAGATGGAATCCGCAGTAGGGGAATCAGCGCCACTGTCCGCCCAACGGCTGTTGTTATTGCTTTTATTTTATTGACAAAGCAGACCTGGGGAGTGTCGCGCATTGTTGTAAAAAAAATGCAGTACATATGCTGCTGTTCTATGGCGTGTGCAATAATGTCAGAGGTAAAAAAAAACACAAAAAAACTGTTTGTTGTTTGCAGTAACTTCTTTGTTGTTGCAATATCGCAAACGGGCGTGGACGTTTCATCATTAAGGATTCCAGCTTTAAAAGCCGCATTGTCCACAAGTGCAATCGGATTGAATCCCGGCCTAAAGCTTTATTATGCAAGCAAATATAAGAAATTGATCACTAAACCAGGGGTGTGTAGTTGATGTATTTTATTGTGAGATGGGGAGTCATAAAAAAACAAAAGCAAAAACTATCACTATAAAAATGATCATGGATTAAAACGGACATATAAAACGAGGTTGTGGCCTTGACACAGTAAACATACAAAGTAACAAATTGGCACAAATAAAACAAAAAAGGTCAATATTATTTTGGCTTGGCAAAAGGATAGATTCATGGTTAAGGATCTTCCTTCAATACAACAGCACACTCATGCTATTAGACATACAGTTAGTTCTCAAAGAGTTTCAGTAGCTTCATATTAAAGTGGGCAAAAGGTAAAAACTAACATGAGAATGAATGGATGCAGGAAAGTAACATGTTCCAATTTCAGGCTTGTGGGGTGTGTGACAACTTGAGATAGTAGTATATTTTATTTTACTTCAAAATGCCAGAGCTTTTTTTATGTTCCAGCTTTGTTGTAGTCATTTTACCTTTGAAATGATTTTCATACTAAAATATATTATTGTATTAATACAAACTACAATATTGTACACTACACTGTGTAATAAATAACCATAAAGAAATATAAAAAATAAGACACATAAATACAAAAGTTTTCTATAACTAAACAGATAACCCATATCATTGGGAATGGGAATAATACTGACACTGCTGAAAACATACAGTACACACATTTAACATATACAAAAAAACATCCAACAACAAAATAATACTGACAGTTAAAAAATAGTGTCTCAATAACCATTCTGGGATCATATTTGCCTACTTTTGTTACCTGAAGAGAGAGAGCATTTCACAAGTGTTAAACAAGTGCACTGGAACTGGACTGGGGAAAAGGATACATTTCAAGGCAGGGAATACTTCAAAATCATGTTTCATCGTCCCGTTACAACATGTACATTGTAAGTCCTTTTAGTCATTGATTGCTCTGATTATAAAAGAGGCAGATTTTTATCTCAAATATATAATAAATGATAATTCATGGTAATGCTATCTTCTATAACAGTACTAGTGGTAATGAGCCAAAATCAACAGTATATCAGCTGAACGAGTTGACATGTTTGAGCTGCTATCAAATCTGGGCCTTGAAACAACCTGACAACAGCTGTTAAGGAGAAACAGCAGTATGCAATGGCACTTTTGATATGCATCATGTATTTTTTTTTTTGCATAAGGCTGGGAGTGGGAATAGGGTTCAGGGCTTAAGGGTGAAATGATCCCTACTTACTAGGCCTAGATCATGAATGTTTTTCTTTATTCTTCTGCATAATCTGATTCAGTAACGATGATAACAGATTTATTAAATGAACAAACGTACGAACAAAACATTTAAAACATTGTATCATTGCTGACATATGTACCTACTTCGATACTCCCCTTGACGTCTTCTTCTTCTATAAGGTAATAATCAACTACTGGAACATCATCATGGCTGAACCCTCATCACCTCACAATAGTTTTCATCTTTAAGGCTCACAATCCATATAAAACAAACAAAAGGTATGCTAACATTATCAGCTAACGTGCTGACGCTGTATACTGTAGGTCTAGTGCGATAATACTGAAGGGTAGACAACACAGAACTGTTATAGCCATAAGTAAACCAAGCCACTTGTAGTGCACAGGATCTTTTTTTCCTCCAACTTAATAAAATACTGTTTTTTTTTGTTCATTGGCAATAAAAAGGTATAGAAATCTCTCCCAACTGTACAGCTTTTTAAAGGTTACAATAAGAGTGATAACACTGATAAAAAGAAATGACCCAAGGTTTTAGTAATAAAACATTATCTAAAACGTGTCGGCTCTAGCTTACAAAGTCTGTATAATGCATTTTTTGTCTTTAAACTTTGTTTTTGATTTTTACAAATTCATTTTCTAACACTGAAAATTGTTTCTCCTTCTGTGGAAAAAGTCACTAGTATTTTTTCAGGCACACCTGGATTCATACACAGTAGTGAACTGAAATGCAGCGTCCGTCAGAGCAACCCAAACTTTAGCTCTCTTCTCTCCTCTACCCCAACGTCATGGGGAGAAAAAGGATCCTTGCATTTCATAGAGGAAGAAGCACAGGTCTGGTTCCTCCCTGTTTTATTTTGTATCTCCTTTCTCTCTGGTCGGTGTCTGGTTCTCGTCTTCTGAAACAGTGTTCCCGTTTGTTTCACCTTCATTCTCTTTCATGACCTCCCCTGATTCTTCCTTCTCCTCTGAGGTCACTCTTTCCTCTGTGTCCATCGTCTCCTCCTTCGCCTCCTCCTCAGCCTGCTCTGACTGCTCCTCCTCCACCTTCTTCTCAGCCTGCTCCTTCTCTCCTCCATGTTCCTCCTCTTTCTCACTGTTCTCCTGCACCTCTTTTTGCCTTGTATCTGCCTTTTCCCCCGTAACCTCCTCTTCCTCCTGCTCTTCCTTTACTTCAACCCCCACTATCCCCTCCCCTTCCTCTTCCTCCTCTTCACCCCCTACCACAACTCTCTTCACTCCATGCTCTTCCTCTTCCTCATTCTCCCCCCCCTCCTGAACAGTGTCTTCCCCCTCTCCCTCCCCCTCCTCCTCCTCTTCCTCCTCGTCCCCTCCCTCATCTCCTATCCGCACCACTTTTATATCATCCATATCCAGAACACTGTCCGGATCTCCCTCCACCGCCTCCCCTGCCGCTGTCTCCATGTCCTCCTCCTCGCTCTCCTCCTCGTCCTCCCTGGTGCTGCTCCCTCGCTCGTCAGAGTCCAGGTGGGAGGGAGGAGAGGAGGTGGGCCTGCTGTCTGACTGCTCCTGCTGCTCCCCTCCCAGGCCCAACCCAACGGGGCTCTCCATCTCCAGAACTTCCTCCTCTACACCTCCCTGACCTCCTTCCTGCACCTCCTTCTTGCAATAGGAGTAGCGGTGGTTCATGTGCTGGGAGTAAGAGCCTGAGTGAGAGAAGCGCTTGCCACACTTGTCGCACTGGTAGGGTTTCTCTCCGGAGTGGAGACGCATGTGTTCTATCAAGTGGTGCTTGTGTTTGAAGGCCTTCCTGCAGATGCCGCACTCGTGGGGTCTCTTGCCTGTAGCACGGGAGAAAATAAATATACAGTAAATAAAAAGATACCTCAGACAAAAATTGATTAAACATTCAGGACAGGATTATTGTTGAGTGAAATCTTCTCCTTAAGAAATACCTGTCAAATTGTTGTAATTCCCCAGGCAGTTGTGCTTGTGAAACGGTTTTGATTATAGCGCCAAAGGTCGGTGAAACCTATATTATTTATCTTCACGTATCCATGGGAAATATCTTAAAACAACACAAAACAAAAGAGCAATCCGACCAGAAATGCTTCAGGGTTGAAGGCTGAACGTTACACCAACGAGAGGAACGGGTAGTTCCAGGCTAAGTGAAGTCACTTGGATGTAAAATGGCGATTCTACGCCAGGTATCAAAGTCATAAAGACAGAACTCAGAGTGGGTTGACCTGTGCTTGGCCACAACACTACCCATGTTCTCATGTAAAATTACTAACAGAGCTCTTTTGCAACATCCCTCTAACATTTCATATGGGAAGGTAATGTGGTTGGCAGGGGGAGCTTGGCAGAAAGCAATTCCCAGGCCTTACAGCGTGTGTGTGTTTGAGTGAGTCTGTGTATGTGTTTGTGTGTGTATTGGATAATAGCTACCCAATATTGTGTGTATGTGTATTGGAGGTGTCCTCCACCCTTCTGCAATATATAATAGTAATAACAACACTGCAGTCAGTCAGTGTGTGATTTCTGAAATTACCCCCTTCAGTTTCACTTTGCCTCATGTTTCCCTGAGGTCTCTCTGGGGAGGTGCAGTAAGGCTGATAATCAGTAGGTACGAAATGTAAGAAAACAGTTTGAAATGGGGAGGTACTATCTAAACTTAACCAATAACAAACACTCACTTTCATTTTCAGTTGCAAAGTGATTCGCTAGGTTGCACCCTAATGAACATGACCCAGGTTTGATTGATCTAGTCCCCGACATACCTGTGTGTTCGTATTTATGTCGGAGCAGAGAGCTGCTCTTCTGGAAGATCTTGTCACACAGGTCGCAGGCGTACATCCCACTCTCCGTCTTCCTCATTTTCTTCCTGGAAGGGGTGGAGTCTGAGTCATTCTGCTCCTCTATGGTAGACACGCCCTCTGAGCTGGTGTCCTGACGCTCCTCCTGAACAAGAAATATAAATACAGTACCAGTCAAAAGTTTGGACACTCCTACTCATTCAAGGGTTTTTCTTTATTTTTACTATTTTCTACATTGTAGAATAATAGTGAAGACATAAAAACTATGAAATAACACATATGGAATCATGTAGTAACCAAAAAAGTGTTAAACAAATCAAAATAACCAAGAAGCTTGATCTTGACATCTAGACACTTAGCTAGCAAGTTAGCAAACCAAATGCATAGCTTGTCCTGAGCTGGATATAATTTATTTGACACATCTTAGATTTCTTATAGTTATACTTCTAATTACAGTATAAGCAGACACGTAGCACACACCCCCGCAGCCCTTATACACTACCAGTCAAAGGTTTGGACACACCTACTCATTCAAGGGTTTATCATTATTTTTACTATTTTCTACATTGTAGAATAATAGTGAAGACATCAAAACTATGAAATAACACATATGGAATCATGTAGTAACCAAAAAAGTGTTAAACAAATCAAAATAACCAAGAAGCTTGATCTTGACATCTAGACACTTAGCTAGCAAGTTAGCAAACCAAATGCATAGCTTGTCCTGAGCTGGATATAATTTATTTGACACATCTTAGATTTCTTATAGTTATACTTCTAATTACAGTATAAGCAGACACGTAGCACACACCCCCGCAGCCCTTATACACTACCAGTCAAAGGTTTGGACACACCTACTCATTCAAGGGTTTATCATTATTTTTACTATTTTCTACATTGTAGAATAATAGTGAAGACATCAAAACTATGAAATAACACATATGGAATCATGTAGTAACCAAAAAAGTGTTAAATCAAAATATATTTTAGATTCTTCAAAGTAGCCACCCTTTGCCTTGATGACAGCTTTGCACACTCCTGGCATTCTCTCAATCAGCTTCACCTGGAATGCTTTTCCAACAGTCTTGAAGGAGTTCCCACATATGCTGAGCACTTGTTGGGTGCTTTTCCATCACTCTGCCGTCCGACTCATCCCAAACCATCTCAATTGGGTTGAGGTCGGGGGGATTGTGAAGGCCAGGTCATCTGATGCAGCACTCAATCACTCTCCTTCTTGGTAAAATAGCTCTTACACAGCCTGGAGGTGTGTTGGGTCATTGTCTTGTTGAAAAACAAATAGTCCTACTAAGCCCAAACCAGATGGGATGGCGTATCGCTGCAGAATGCTGTGGTAGCCGTGCTGGTTAAGCACCCCCACACCATAACATCTCCTCCTCCATGCTTTACGGTGGGGAAATACACATGCGGAGATCATCCGTTCACCCACACCACGTCTCACAAAACCACGGCGGTTGGAACCAAAAATCTTGCTCATGTTTCTTGGCCCAAGCAGGTCTCTTCTTCTTTTTGGTGTCCTTTAGTAGTGGTTTATTTGCAGCAATTCGACCATGAAGGCCTGATTCACACAGTCCCCTCTGAACAGTTGATGTTGAGATATGTCTGTGACTTGAACTTTTCTGAGGCTGGTAACTCTAATGAACTTATCCTCTGCAGCAGAGGTAACTCTGGGTCTTCCATTCCTGTGGCGGTCCTCATGAGAGCCAGTTTCATCATAGCACTTGGTGGTTTTTGCGACTGCACTTGAAAAAACTTTCAAAGTTCTTGAAATTTTACCTATTGACTGACCTTCATGTCTTAAAGTAATGATGTCATTTATCTTTGCTTATTTGAGCTGTTCTTGCAATAATATGGACATGGTCTTTTACCAAATAGGGCTATCTTCTGTATACCCCCCAACCTTGTCACAACACAACGTATTGGTTCAAATGCATTAAGTAGAAAATAAATTCCACAAATTAACTTTTAAGAAGGCACACCTGTTAATTGAAATGTGTTCCAGGTGACTACCTCATGAAGCTGGTTGAGAGAATGCCAAGAGTGTGCAAAGCTGTCGTCAAGGCAAAGGGTGGCTATTTGAAGAATCTAAAATATAAAATATAAATCTAAAATATATTTTGATTTGTTTAACACTTTATTGGTTACTACATGATTCCATATGTGTTATTTCATAGTTTCGATGTCTTCACTATTTTTCTACAAGAAAAACCCTTGAATGAGTAGGTGTGTCCAAACTTTTGACTGGTAGTGTACATGTGATTATAAACTCAGTGGCCAGTTTATTAGGTACACCATCCCATTCACGAAAATGGTTCGCTCCTACAGACAGTGAGTCATGTGGCTGTGGCTTACTATATAAAGCAGGCAGACAGGCATTCAGTTACTCTTTGATTGAACATTAGAATGGGCAAAACGAGTGACCTAAGCAACTTTGAGCATGGTATGATTGTCAGTGCCAGGCGCCGATTCCAGTATGTCACAACCGGCTCACCTCCTGGGCTTACCACGCACGACAGTGTCTAGGGTTACCGAGAATGATGCGACAAACCAAAAACCTCCAGTCAGCGGCAGTCCTGTGGGAAAAAACAGCTCATTGATGAGAGGTCGAAGGAGAATGCCAAGAATCATGCAAGCTAACAGGCTGGCCACAAACAGGCGAATAACGGCACAGTAAAACAGTCGTGTGCAGAACGGCATCTCGGAACGCAAAACCCGTCGGTCCTTGTCATGGATGGGCTATTGCAGCAGACGACCACACCGGGTTCCGGTCTTATCAGCTAAAAACAAGAAGAAGCGGCTCAAGTGGGCACGCGATCACCAACACTGGACAATTGAGGTGTGGAAAAACATTGCCTGGTCGGACGACTCCCGGTTCCTGATGCGTCATGCTAAAGGCAGAGTAAGGATTTGGTGTAAGCAGCATGAGTCCATGGCCCCATCCTGCCTGGTGTCAACGGTACAAGCTGGTGACGGTTTTGTAATGGTGTGGGGAATGTTTTCCTGGCACACATTAGGTCCCTTGATACCAATTAAGAATCCATGTCCTGAAGAATTCAGGCTGTTCTGGAGGCAAAGGCGGTCCGACCCGGTACTAGATTGGTGTACCTAATAAACTGTGTGTATGTTATATAATGTATTAGAAAGACATAATCATGTGATTATTATAACACTCTGAGCTGATGTCCTGCCTCTCCTCCTGGGGATAGAAAGGAATAACATAGATATGTAATTTGTGTGGATATACAGTTGAAGTTGGAAGTTTACATACACCTTAGCCAAATATATTTAAACTCAGTTTTTCACAATTCCTGACATTTAATCCTAGTAAAAATTCCCTGTCTTAGGTCAGTTAGGATCACCACTTCATTTTAAGAATGTGAAATGTCAGAATAATAGTAGAGAGACTGATTTATTTCAGCTTCTATTTCTTTCATCACATTCCCAGTGGGTCAGAAGTTTACATACACTCAATTAGTATTTGGTAGCATTGGCTTTAAATTGTTTAACTTGGGTCAAACGTTTCAGGTAGCCTTCCAAAAGCTTCCCACAATAAGTTGGGTGAATTGTGGCCCATTCGTCCTGACAGAGCTGGTGTGTCTGAGTCAGGTTTGTAGGCCTCCTTGCTCGCACACACTTTTTCAGTTCTGCCCACAAATGTTCTATAGGATAGAGGTCAGGGCTTTGTGATGGCCACTCCAATACCTTGACTTTGTTGTTCTTAAGCCATTTTGCCACAACTTTGGAAGTATGCTTGGGATCATTGTCCATTTGGAAGACCCATTTGCGACCAAGCTTTAACTTCCTGACTGATGTCTTGAGATGTTGCTTCAATATATCCACATAATTGTCCTTCCTCATGATGCCATCTATTTTGTGAAGTGCACCAGTCCCTCCTGCAGCAAAGCACCCCCACAGCATGATGCTGCCACCCCCGTGCTTTCCCCTTTTTCCTCCAAACATAACGATGGTCATTATGGCCAAACAGTTCTATTTTTGTTTCATCAGACCAGAGGACATTTCTCCAAAAAGTACGATCTTTGTCCCTATGTGCAGTTGCAAACCGTAGTCTGGCTTTTTTATGGTGCTTTTGGAGCAGTGGCTTCTTCCTTGCTGAACGGCCTTTCAGGTTATGTCGATATAGGACTATTTTTACTGTGGATATAGATACTTTTGTACCTGTTTCCTCCAGCATCTTCACAAGGTCCTTTGCTGTTGTTCTGGGATTGATTTGCACTTTTCGCACCAAATTACGTTCATCTCTAGGAGACAGAACGCGTCTCCTTCCTGAGCGGTATGACGGCTGTGTGGTCCCATGGTGTTTATACTTGCGTACTATTGTTTGTACAGATGAATGTGGTACCTTCAGGCGTTTGGAAATTGCTCCCAAGGATGAACCAGACTTGTGGAGGTCTACAATATTTTTTCGGAGGTCTTGGCTGATTTCTTTTGATTTTCCCATGATGTCAAGCAAAGAGGCACTGAGTTTGAAGGTAGTTCTTGAAATACATCCACAGGTACACCTCCAATTGTCTAAAATGATGTCAATTAGCCTATCAGAAGCTTCTAAAGCCATGACATCATTTTATGGAATTTTCCGAGCTGTTTAAAGGCACAGTCAACTTAGTGTATGTAAACTTCTGACCCACTGGAATTTTGATACAGTGAATTATAAGTCAAATAATCTGTCTGTAAACAATTGTTGGAAAAATTACTTGTGTCATGCACAAAGTAGATGTCCTAAACGACTTGCCAAAACTATAGTTTGTTAACAAGAAATGTGTGGAGTGGTTGAAAAACGAGTTTTAATGACTCCAACCTTCCGACTTCAACTGTATGTATTAAAATGTCTACTGTTTTTAAGTATCAATTGTAACAGTAGTACAGTAATACAGTTATGAAGAAGCCTGGAGAAGTAGTATCATTGTCTGATTAAAACAGCAAACAAAATGTGCAGGACAATAATACAAAACAGGTGATATGGAGCTGGAAGCGATTTAGAACTGATTTAGTGGAAGTGGTTCATTGGTGTGTCTTTCTGTTTCCCAAGAAAAATAGAGTATCAGGAAGGGATGGTGTACTGTAGGTAGGCTGACTAATACCACTTCCTGTCTATGGCTCTCAGGGAACCATAACCTCGCCATAACAATTTCACAGTTACTCTTTTATTGGCTGAGTGAAAAATACCATCACGATGACATCATCCCATCTTGGAGTGTTGGCCTTGAAAACCAGTCATCACCCTCATCATGACTCATCAATGGTGAGTAAAAACCCTTCATGAGCATATGGCTGAGTCGCAAATGGCACGGCATCCTATTCCCTTTTGACAGCTCTGATCAAAAGTAGTGCACTATATAGGGAATAAGGTGCCATTTGGGACGAGTATTCAGCAATGAGACACAGAGAGAGAGAGGAAGTGCGGCAGGCACCAGCATCATTAAGGAACTGATATATAATAGCTTTATGTACAGTTAGGGGTTTTAACAAGGCATGCTCTATGCCAATCCATTTAATAGTAAAGCATAATACAACAACAATAAATCAATGGTGAGACAGGAGGCTGGGCGTTTAAACAGATTCCTACAGATCAATATGTCTCTACAGTAAGTGCTGCCTCATGTCTTCTGGCTGGATGACAGCAGCAGCAGCTCAGTGCTGTGCTCGGGGAGTGATGGCTCTCACACATCTATCCATCATTATGGATTAATTACGTGTCTTGGCTCTGACTTCACCACTGAATTAGAGTTTGCTGGCAGAATTCTGCACTTTCTGTATAATGTAGAGTAATGTATTAGGCCATTTTCCTCTGTTGTATAGCATTGTCAAAACATTTTGACACTAATACTTTGTCATTTCACATTTTGAAATGTTTGGCAGTATACTCTAGCACGAATACCCATTTAATATCCTTCTACTATTTATCCCTACATCCCTGAGAGAGAAGGGAAGAGAGAGAGAGAGAGCATGAGAGAGAGAATGATCGAGAAGAGAGGAGAGCTAGGGCTTCTCACTAGAGTCCTGTCCACCTTTCCCCCTCTCCTCCTCCTCCCAGCGCTGAAACAAAACAGTTCATCACAGGAGACACAGACGGCGGTGCCAAAATACCACCGCCTCCACCCAGAGCTACAGGAGAGAAACTCATTCAGCTGGGAGAGTTCCCAGCTCAATAGATGGAGCTTAACCTTCTCAGTATGGCTGAGCTGCAGTGGAACAGAGCCAAGAGAATTGAAGCACTAAAGGGGCAATAGACTGACTCCTAAGTGTTGAGGAAGGGAGCTGTCCTGGGCCTTGTTGTTTCACTCAAAACAAATAAGACACGGGTAGAATGAAAAATAGGAGGAATGATTACACCTCAGAACTTCCCATTCTTCCAGCACCTCCTCCCTCACTAAACCTGAGCGAAGTTAGTCATTGAGTAACAAGCAGCAACATACCAGAGGAGAGACTTAAGCAAGAAAACATGATTCTCAGTAATGCACCTGCAATACCGATCATGCTAGACTGTTTCCATGTAACATGCTAATTTTCTCTAACCGGCATACACATTCAAACACACATAGTTAAGGCCATACACACACACACAACAGATGCTTTCCTTGCAACTGACTGAATAAGAGCATCTGTTATGTAAATGACCAAAATGTAACGTAAATGTAAACTGCTGCTTTCTCTTTAGGGTTCTAAGCTGGGTTACTGTAAAGCACTTTGTGACTGCTGCTGTGAAAAAGGGCTATATAAATACATTTCAATGATTGATTGATTGATTGATCGACTGATTAACAAACCTTGATGCCGTTGATCTGCAGTGTGGTCTTCTCCTGTGTCTCTGTCCCTGCAGGGCTGCTGGCTGTAGCTGTAGTGGTATAGGTGTAGGCCAACTGCGGGATGAGAATAGTCTGGTTGTTATTGGTGGTGAGTGCTCGGAGGCAGGGCACGCCCGCGCTGCCCTGATCAGTGATGGCATAGATGGTCCCGCTGGGCAGCTGAGTGGTCATGATGCTGATGGGGTTGGCACTTTTTGGGCTGGCGGTGTACAAGGACACGGGTTGGCTAGTCACTTGGTGGCCGGCAGAGAGCGGAAGTTCTTTCTTGGTTGTGCAAGTCTTCGTCAAGTTCAGGGGTTTGTCCTGATGGGAGTAAACAGTGGCTTGGTAAGAGGTCTCCTCTCGGGTGGGCTTTGGTAGCGACAGGTCCAGGGGGCCCTCAGTGCTGTCTGAAGAGGATGGTTTGGTTGGGACGTGCCCCCCAGTGGTCAGGTTTAGTGGTGTGGGGGAGGCCGGGGAGCGCCCAGAGCCATTAACCTCAGCCGGAGTGGCCTCAGCTGGGCTGGACTGCATCAGGGTGGGGCCCTCTGTGTCCTGCTCTGATCTTAGTTTAGGGGACACAACTATGGCCCCATCACACTCAGACAAGGGCCCTTCTTCCTCAGACGGAGGTGTCGGGGCCCCTAGTGAGACCTGACCGCTCTGCATCTTGTCAAACCACTTCTTGACTACGTCGGCAGGCAGGCTGACTGAGTCGGAGATCTTGCTGAGCTCCTCCTTGGTGGGCTCAACGTTTAAGGTGAAGTAGGCCTTGAGGAGAGACAGAAGGTTCTTGGGCTGGCCCCCGAACCCCTCGGACAATAACGAATCGATGGCAGACTCTGATTTGTCCCCATTGATCCTGAGGCCTGAGGCTTTCTTACAGTGCTTGAGTGTGTGGAGCGCGTCCAGACCGTCGGGGCAGTCGTTACAGAGCAGACAGGTCTTAGTAGTCTCCTCTTCCATCTTCTCCTCTTTGCTCCTGGGGGGCCTGCTAACTGTCAGGTCCTCTGGGAGTTTCTGCTGGGTCTTGCTGCAGGGCTCCGTGGCGGCCTGGGCCTGGCCTGGTGTTGTAGCCAGGGTCTGGGGCTCCTTTTTCAGGTTCTGGGCAGTGAGCTGGGTCTGGGTCTGGAGCTGGGCCTGGGTCTGGGTCTGGCTGGGGTCCAGGCTGTAGTTGATGATGATTTTGGTGGCGTTGCCATCCTGACCCATGATGGGCAGACTGATGGCTGAGATGAGCTGCTGGTGAGGAACGCCTGTCGCCCCCATGCCGGTCCCCGCTGCCTTGGCGTTGTTCTGCAACATCTGTCTGATCATGTTACCGTCCACCGCCACCTTCAAAATGAAGATGATAATGGTTTGTTCATTGTTTAACAAATCATTGTACAAATAGCAACAACAAGCTCATTACAAGTATTTAATTAATTGTAAGTTGTATTGTTATTCTGGTGTTTTATTAGGATCCCCATTAGCTGTTGCAAAAGCAGCAGCTACTCTTCCTGGAGTCCACACAAAACATGAAACATGACATAATACAGAACATTAATAGACACGAACAGCTCAAGGACAGAACTACATCAATTTTTAAAAAAGGCACACACAGCCTACATATGAATACATATCTAGATAAAATAGGGGAGAGGCGTTGTGCCGTGAGGTGTTGCTGTTTTTTTAAACCAGGTTTTCTGTTCATTTGAGATATATGAGATGGAACAGAGTTCTATCCAATAATGTCTCTATATAATACTGTACACTTTCTTGAATTTGTTCTAGATTTGGGGACTGTGAAAAGACCCCTGGTGGCATATCTGGTGGGGTGTGTGTGTCAGGGCTGTGTGTAAGTTGACTATGCAAACAATTTGGCATTTTCAACACATTCATGTTTCTTATAAAATGTCTCTCCTGCAGTCAGTCTCTCCTGTACTTAAATTACAAATAAATTATTAAATTAGGAGTACTATTTCTAGTCCTATTACAAATTTACAAATCACCTTCAAGACGTTCTGTAGGTCTGCCAGGTTGATGCTGATGGGAGAGACCAGACCCATGGTGGGGAGCATCACCGCATGCACCGTGCCCTGCAGGGGGGCAGCCGCACCCCCGTTGAACACCCCTCCTCCATGACCGTTCACTCCTGTCGCCCCCGCTGCTGGAGACACTACCATGGGCTTGTACTCGTAGTCCATTGGCTCGCTCTTGATCTGGTTGAGGGGTAGTTGTTCTTGCAAGGGTTTGTCCCGGATCTGGGTGCGTGTTGTGGTGGAGGAGGGCGAGGCGGGCATGGCTGGGGATGAGCACTGGGAGGTCTTGGCGCCGGGCCGGGGGCGGCCGTTGACTGCTGAGATCACACCGATGCACTTCTTACTGCTAATGTGGGAGCTGTAGGAGCCCGAGTGGGAGAAACGCTTCTTACAGTTGGAGCACTCGTATGGCTTCTCTCCTGTAGGGACAGACACAGAACCATACACACACACACACACACACACACACACACATACACACACACGCAATACCTCCATTAGGAGCAGAAATGAATTAATAAACCTCCCAGGGAAAAAGGGTCTAATGCATTTCAAAAATGCTTAAACGCTGAGGTAATAGCACCATTGGGAAATACTCTTTAATTGTTGGCCGGCGTGCCAACACAAACACAATTATGTCACATTAGGACAGAGCACAATGAAACTCAATCAAGGACACATAAATACACAGAGTTACTAAACATAAATATTTGTTTGATGGAAACAGAAACATCTGGGCGGATGGCGTGGCGAATAGAAACTAACTTCTATAATTACCCCAACCCTTTTTCCACATTAAAGAATACACATACACAAACACACAAACAAACACAAACACAAACACACACACACACACACACACACAGGGCTGCCATGGTGACTGAGGGGTCCACTCACCGCTGTGGATGCGTAGGTGCTCCTTCAGGTGGTGCTTGTACTTAAAAGCTTTTTCACATTCAGTGCACTTGAATTTTCGGTTGCCCCCCGACTGCGTCACATGCCTCTGTCAGACGAAGGAAGAGAGTGGGGAGGGGATGGTCAGTCACACATAAATTCATTTTGTACTAGTAAACATTTATTCAAGAGTAATATTAGATAATGGCCCCCAAAAATCCAATCCTAGGATATGAAATGGTCAAAATTAAGCTATGAGGGAATACGCCTACTTTCCCACTTCCTGTGTTTTGGACACAAAGTTCACATCACATTATCTACATAACCTTCATACACTACACAGTGCTGCACGTAGTAGTTGACAAACAGCAGATATTTTTGTGTATCTATCTAGTGTTATGTTATGGATAGGTACCTGGTCTCTGCTAGCTTTGTGGGCCGTCATGTGTCTCTCCAGCTGAGTGCGGTAGGCGAAGGTGTAGCTGCACTGGGAGCAGCTGAAGTTGTCCTCGCTCTTCTCGTGGCGCAGCTTGATGTGCTCCTTCAGGGATGTGTAGCGCTTGTAGCCACGGGCACAGTAGGGACAGGTGAGGAGCTGGGAGAATGCATCCGGAGTGCCTGGTGGGGGGGAGGAGAGAGAGCGAGAGGAAGGGAGCACGTGAGTGAGCGTGTGTGTGTGTGTGTGTGTGTGTGTGTGTGTGTGTGTGTGTGTGTGTGAGTGAAAGACAGGGGGTAGTGTGTGTGTGTGCGCGCTTGTGTGTGTGTGTGTGTAGTATGGAAAGGGGGCTAATCTGTAGAGTAATCAGAGGGTCAATAGATAGTAAGGGTTATTTGATGTGGATGATTGATAGACACAGGAGCTCTGGACTGTTGTTTTACCTATTTCACCAGGTACTGAGCGATCCTCTATTAAGACTCACAGTTTCCACACTAACTACATGACAGATGCAATATACTCTTACTTGCATTCAATAGAGCTGGATAGATACTGTTGGTTATTCATTAATAACATAACAGGTGTTGTAAATGTGCAATCAACGGCACTAGTATACATGAGAAACATTAGTAAAATATTGGAATTCTAAGCCTACAGTGGGGAGAACAAGTATTTGATACACTGGCGATTTTGCAGGTTTTCCTACTTACAAAGCATGTAGAGGTCTGTAATTTTGATCATAGGTACACTTCAACTGTGAGAGACGGAATCTAAAAATCCAGAAAATCACATTGTATGATTTTTAAGTAATTAATTTGCATTTTATTGCATGACATAAGTATTTGATCACCTACCAACCAGTAAGAATTCCGGCTCTCACAGACCTGTTAGTTTTTCTTTAAGAAGCCCTCCTGTTCTCCACTCATTACCTGTATTAACTGCACCTGTTTGAACTCGTTACCTGTATAAAATACACCTGTCCACACACTCAATCAAACAGACTCCAACCTCTCCACAATGGCCAAGACCAGAGAGCTGTGTAAGGACATCAGGGATAAAATTGTAGACCTGCACAAGGCTGGGATGGGCTACAGGACAATAGGCAAGCAGCTTGTTGAGAAGGCAACAACTGTTGGCGCAATTATTAGAAAATGGAAGAAGTTCAAGATGACGGTCAATCACCCTCGGTCTGGGGCTCCATGCAAGATCTCACCTCGTGGGGCATCAATATTCATGAGGAAGGTGAGGGATCAGCCCAGAACTACACGGCAGGACCTGGTCAATGACCTGAAGAGAGCTGGGACCACAGTCTCAAAGAAAATCATTAGTAACACACTACGCCGTCATGGATTAAAATCCTGCAGCGCACGCAAGGTCCCCCTGTTCAAGCCAGCGCATGTCCAGGCCCGTCTGAAGTTTGCCAATGACCATCTGGATGATCCAGAGGAGGAATGGGAGAAGGTCATGTGGTCTGATGAGACAAAAATAGAGCTTTTTGGTCTAAACTCCACTCGCCGTGTTTGGAGGAAGAAGAAGGATGAGTACAACCCCAAGAACACCATCCCAACCGTGAAGCATGGAGGTGGAAACATAATTCTTTGGGGATGCTTTTCTGCAAAGGGGACACCGTATTGAGGGGAGGATGGATGGGGCCATGTATCGCAAGATCTTGGCCAACAACCTCCTTCCCTCAGTAAGAGCATTGAAGATGGGTCGTGGCTGGGTCTTCCAGCATGACAACGACCCGAAACACACAGCCAGGGCAACTAAGGAGTGGCACCGTAAGAAGCATCTCAAGGTCCTGGAGTGGCCTAGCCAGTCTCCAGACCTGAACCCATTAGAAAATCTTTGGAGGGAGCTGAAAGTCTGTATTGCCCAGCGACAGCCCCGAAACCTGAAGGATCTGGAGAAGGTCTGTATGGAGGAGTTGGCCAAAATCCCTGCTGCAGTGTGTGCAAACCTGGTCAAGACCTACAGGAAACGTATGATCTCTGTAATTGCAAACAAAGGTTTCTGTACCAAATATTAAGTTCTGCTTTTCTGATGTATCAAATACTTATGTCATGCAATAATATGCAAATGAATTACTTAAAAATCATACAATGTGATTTTCAGGATTTTTGTTTTAGATTCCGTCTCTCACAGTTGAAGTGTACATATGATAAAAATTACAGACCTCTACATGCTTTGTAAGTAGGAAAACCTGCAAAATCGGCAGTGTATCAAATACTTGTTCTCCCCACTGTATATCTTTCAACAACAACAAAAAACACCCACTGGTTTCAAATGAAAGCCCAGACATTCAATAAAAGCCTGCTGGAAACACAGTAGAACATGGTGAGGAGACATAATGCAAACCTAGCTCCAGTTCCCCAGGGTTGTTTTCTGCTCCAGTGGGTCCCACACAGGTAAAGTATTACCTGTTAACAGGTGATGTATTAAGCCTCCCTCCTGACCACACATTATGTCTCGCACGCACGCACACACACACACACACACACACATTTTCACCCAGGTACTAGTGAATCATCACTGACACAGATGTGAGACATTTGCTCAGGTGTTGCTGTTTGCTGTTTTCAAACGCTCTGGGGTTGACAGGTAACAGCCAAAATCCCTTAGGCCATAAAAGCCCAGTGTGTGTCCATTCACAGCTCTATGTGTGTGCGTACGTGCGCGTGTGTGTTAATGTGGGGGGAGTTAACACCTTTAGAGGGAGAGACGGAAGCCAGAACAACAAATCAAGGTGTTGCCTGGCGGCATAACACCTGTAGGGGATGGGGGGGGTGTCAAGGTACAAAGTATTTTTTGTGGGCTGTGTGCTATCCCTGCTCTGCGCTGAGCTTGACTCAGTGAGTGGAATCTATGGCCAATCAGTGACACTATTTAATGAAAACTGGTACTTTGATCCTGTACTAAGCAGACGACCGATGGTTTGAGGTATGTGTGTGTATGTTGTGTGTGTGTTTGTGTGTGAGAAAGGTCTGCAGGTGAGGTGTGTGTGTGTCTTTGTACCATTCTCGTCATGTCCGCTGGCCTCAGGAGTCCCCTGTCGTGGCTCGTCCTCAGGGGCTTCTGGGTAAATGATGGTCGTGTCTCCCTGCTGCAGTATCTCCTCCACCAGAGCATCTGTACTGCCGTCATCCTCCCCATCAGAACCACACTCCTCCCTCACTGAAACACAGGGACATGCAACTATTTAGAACATGAGAAAAGGACATCAAAGATCCTCTCCATTGTTATAAAACATCACCATTGTAATACATAATCTTATCATGTTACTTCTCTTTAACAAATAGGATGCTTAATTATAACTGTGACCTCCACCTAGGTGAGTTAGTACATCTAATGTATCCCCAGAATCAACCAATCCCCATCCAATAGACTTCACAAACATAAAAGCCTCTCTGCCTCCTCAAACCCTAGGCCTAGATCAACCTCTCTGGATAACAAAGAACAACCTGGCCATTGTGGGGACTAATATCCTAATACCCCAGTAAATGAGATCCGTTATCAGGGAGCATATTCTCTCCTCCACATCACATTAGCTGCTGTTCCTCCACTAATGAGGGCTAATTAAGGAGCTAACTAAGGCTGTAGGAAACAGCGTAACCCGAGGACACATTTAGGAAGTGGAATGCTTCCGTCTCTCTGCTCGGCTTGGCTTCCTGAAGCACGTACACAACAGGGTATAGTGTGTCAGCAGTTAAAACAATAAAGAAATACACCTAGTTATTATCATTATTACTAACCCTTATTTTACCAGGTAGGTTGACAGAGTAAGAACACATTCTCTTTTACAGGAATTGAGAAAGGATGATGATAAAACATCTATCGACAATGTTTACCTCCCTAAAGACAGACAACTTGTATTTACTGAGCAGATGTTTCAGGCTGGGGGAATTTAATTATCCTGTTAGTTTCTTTAGTGTTGAGGTTTTTCTGTGTGTGTAAAGGGCTGTGACAGTAAGATCCAGCTGTGTGTTGCTGTGTCAGAGGGGAGCTTGTACGCTCAGTGACTCAGGCAGGCAGGCCCAGTAAATTCCAACAGCCCTCCTACTTAACAGGGCCCAGCCCTTGGCTGGCTCTCTCCTGGCTCACTCCTAGCTCTCTCCTGTGCACTTTAACAGCGATGAGACAAGGTGAAAAATGGACGGTTCCACTACACGGAACACACAGAACACACATCCCCACGCCAACCACACGGTACACACACACACAGTTACTGGTTACCATGGTTATTAAACACTTTTAGCCGAACCATCTACATCCCACTGCCTCACAGTGAAAGTGAGTGTGAAATAGAGAGAGTGAAAAAAAGAGAGTGGCACAGAGAGAGACACAGAGAGATCTAATCACCAGGTGCTGAGAAAGTCTGACTGCAGGATTATATCCATCCTCACTATAGGATGGAAGGGGGAGAAACAGATGAGTGCCTCCTACTGAACCCTCACATTAAGCCACAGCATTACTTCCCATGACCTCAGTGGATCCCTCCCTCTATCGCTCTCTCTCTCAACCATTCAGAAACGTCTTAACAGTTTTTCACCATTGAGCTAGATTTGTACGATTTTCTTTTTCTTGCAGTTCCACTTTCTTTTAATAACGTTAAGCAGCTAAATAACAACCTGTTTCAACAGTCACACACGTTGCTGTTTTCTGTATCTACATTCCACTAGTTACCTGATCCCTGCCTCACTCCGGGTCTCAGAACGATGTAACAGCCTACATCTCCAACAAACCTACCCCGGGAGACTGAATGTAGAGTGTGTGTGTGAGATAGGGTTGCTCTGGCGGTCGGTGCTGAGGTGTTACAGGTCTGTGGTTGTTACGGCCCCATTCACCATCTCTCTCAGACCTCTGCTACAGTAAATAAGAGCTGAAGGCCACAAGGGTCAAAGCCAGTCAGGCAGTCTATGAAAAGTCTGTTTATCAGCCTGTTTCACCATGGCCAAACATGACACATGGACATGAACTCACTGAAGCAGGAGTGGAAAACCTGGACAGGTTCTGGAGTTAACTGACTAGACCCTAAAGAAGATTCATAAAAAAACAAATGTTGTAATAGTCTGAGTCGGTATAAAAATTGCCCCACCGCGGGGGAGTTCTCATATACCGCCAGCAAATAAAGCCTCCATTTACATGTTGCTTATGAGTGCCTTTCACACTACTTTTGGATTATAATTGGATTGTAAGGCTCGTATGAATGTCCTGCTTAATATAATGCTTGTGTCATCAACTGCATTATACTTAAAAAACACTTAAATTTCAACCAGTAAAAATGTCCTTCGACTAACTTTGCTACAGCCTATGTCAATGAGCATTAGCATTTTAGCTAACAACTACTGCATCCAAAATAGGTATTTTGCCCCCCAAAAATTGCAACCAAATATAATCTTAGCGACATTGTAAGCGTATGAGAACCCAAAAAAGCATATGAGAACCCTAAGCGTATGTTTAGAAGTAATAACTACGTAAATCTATGCTATGCTGTATGGGTGCAGATCGGGAATGGCAATTGTTTTCCCCAATGGTGGCCGCTGTTCAGGGACTACTTGTTTATGACGTGAATAGCGACTATACATACTGTTAAACAGCCTTGATCCTTGATATAAAAACCCTCTTTCCTTGTTGTGCTTAAATAAAGAGTTAAATCCTAGCTTACGCTAGAAGGCCAGAATCATCAGACCACCCACACACTATCTCTGCAACCTGATACAGAGGTGTCCCATGAGCCTAACTATACAAGACCACATCAGCATTTCCTGTCCTGGGTGAGCTGGACTCACCTTTGACCCCTACTTCCTGTGGCCGTGCATCCTGCCCCTACTAGGTGTCCTCTATCGGGGAAGGAGAGGGGGAGCCAACATGTCTCTGAGATAAGCAGTTGCACAACAGAGAGTGAGTGATAGATCCAGTCTGTTAAAATAATCTTGAAACAACAGGATGCAAGCCAGTGGGATCTGGGATGAATGTGAGGTATATATACAGGGCGGTAGGTAGCTTAGTGGGTAAGAGCGTTGTGCCAGTAACCGAAAGGTCGCTGGTTCTAATCCCCGAGCCGACTAGGTGAAAATTCTGTCGATGTGCACTTAAGCAAGGCACTTAACCCTAATTGCTCCTGTAAGTCGCTCTGGATAAGAGCGTCTGCTAAATGACAAAAAAAAAAATATATATATATTATCTATGCTGTGTATATCTATGCTTGGGATGCTTTACTTAACTTGAGTTCAGTATTATCACAGAGTCAGTCCCTGAGGATCCACCACACAACTTTCCCAGTGCCCTTTCCCTCCGTCGGTTACCCTTTCCTTTCCTGTTCTTCCAGGGTGTCTTAACTTACTGACTGAGCATCTCATGACTTAAGCCCTACAGGAAATTAGTATGTGCTCACAAGTGCCCATGACTCCTGCTGTAGCTATTATCCTGAGTCAGGGCATTCAAATGTTTTATTGAGACTCATCTTCAGGGGAAACGCATGGCCCATTGCAGAAGAGCTATTAGGTGAATGGCAGTGACCAGACAGAAGGAATTTACTAAAACGACATCATCATACTGTGTATCGACCATATGACGTGAGCACATGCCATGCCTAATAACACACTAATCTTACCAAGTGGAAAGAACCCTGTATATTTTCATAAGGCAGGTCAGTTAAACCTGCGTTTCATGAGATCAGTGTATTAGGTACCTCCACTGACTATATATTAGTGGATACCTCCTAGTATTCTCCTTTCCTCTTCTTTCCACTCCTCCCTGCCCGTTCACTCTGAACTGAACAGAGATTACAGTCTATAATGAATCAGTAATGGAACAAATCCCATTTCAATACCTTTTTTTCCCTCTTCTTGGTACATAGAATCATCCTGCCTCTTCGCTGAGGTGGTGGGTAAGGCAATGTTTTACTCCAAGGGCTGCGGCGGTGCTACAGTGGATATTCATTTAGAACTAAATGAGTAATGACAGTGAGCAAGGGGCCAGTGATACCATATAATCAGGAGGAATGATTCAGGAAGAGGGGGGAAATGGAGGGAGGGAGCGAGGGACTGCAGCAGAGTGAAAACCACGTCAAGACTTTAATTTGAGCGAGCGCCAGGCAGCCAGAGTAAGGGAAAGATTAGTGGGTGGCTGCAGCTTTCAATGGTTACGCCGACCTAGAGTACTGACAACTGTTTTCCAGAGAAAAAAAGCAATGGGGACAGAGAGAGAGCGAGGGAGGATGAGTGTGGAGAGGTGTGTTCGTCTTAAAAGGAACAGGGTTGAGACTTGCATTATGTTTCATCAGTTTATTCCCACAGAGCTGGTGTTTATTAGAGAGAGAGAGAAAGAGATAGAGAGGGACGAGGACAAAGAGAGAGAGACGAGGAGAGAGAGCGGAGGACGAGCAGAGAAAGAGAGAGAGAGAATTAGGAGGGAGAAAATTAGGAGGGAGAGTGAGAGGAAGGAAAGTGCCTGATTAGGCATGGATCCGGCCAGCAGCCAGTTTTGTAGGGCCTAGGCCATTTAAGTATAACTCATGCTTTTGAAGTGTTTAATGTTCTCAGAGACCAATTACATTCTTCTCCAACCTCCCCTTTAAGAGGGAGCGTGCTGATGGACAGGGATGGATATGGCATAATAGTGATATGAATGACAGCAGGATCTGTCTGGAGAGAAGGCTACACTATGTCAGTCAGGTGTGAGACAGCTGTTGGAGCTTGAAACTGTCTGTGTCACAGGCAGTCCACAAAAATAAATGCTCAAATCTGTTCTGTATTGACAGCTAAACGGATTACCAAACTCATCTTTCTAACCATGAAGGACATTCAGTTCTATAAGTCTTTTTACATACACTACCGGTCATAAGTTTTAGAACACCTACTCATTCAAGGGTTTTTCTTTATTTTTACTATTTTCTACATTGTAGAATAATAGTGAAGACATCAAAACTATGAAATACCACATAAGGAATCATATAGTAACCAAATAAGTGTTAAACAAATCAAAATATATTTTATATTTGAGATTCTTCAAATAGCCACCCTTTGCCTTGATGACTGCTTTGCACACTCTTGGCATTCTCTCAACCAGCTTCATGAGGTAGTCACCTGGAATGCATTTCAAATAACAGGTGTGCCAGCTTAAAAGTTAATTTGTGGAATTTCTTTCCTTTTTAATGCGTTTGAGCCAATCAGTTGTGTTGTGACAAGGTGGGGGGGGGGGGGGGGGGGGGGGTATAGCCCTATTTGGTAATAGGTGATGGTCTTTTACCAAGTCCATATTATGGCAAGAACAGCTCAAATAAGCAAAGAGAAACGACAGTCCATCATTACTTTAAGACATGAAGGTCAGTCAATACGGAACATTTCAAGAACTTTGAAAGATTCTTCAAGTGCAGTGGCAAAAACCATCAAGCGCAATGATGAAACTGGTCTCATGAGGACCGCCACAGAAATAGAAGACACAGAGTTACCTCTGCTGCAGAGGATAAGTTCATTAGAGTTACCAGCCTCAGAAATTGCAGCCCAAATAACTGCTTCACAGAGTTCAAGTAACAGACACATCTCAACATCAACTGTTCAGAGGAGACTGGGTGAATCAGGCCTTCATGGTCGAATTGCTGCAAAGAAACCACTACTAAAGGACACTAATAAAAAGAAGAGACTTGCTTGGGCCAAGAAACACGAGCAATGGACATTAGACTGGTGGAAATCTGTCCTTTGGTCTGAAGATTTTTGGTTCCAACCGCTGTGTCTTTGTGAGAAACAGAGTAGGTGAAAGGATGATCTCTGCATGTGTGGTTCCCACCGTGAAGCATGGAGGAGGAGGTGTGATGGTGTGGGGGTGCTTTGCTGGTGACACTGTCTGTGATTTATTTAGAAATTCAACACACACTTAACCAGCATGGCCACCACAGCATTCTGCAGCGATACGCCATCCCATCTGGTTTGCGCTTAGTGGGACTATCATTTGTTTTTCAACAGGACAATGACCCAACACACCTCCAGGCTGTTTAAGGGCTATTTGACCAAGAAGGAGAGTGATGGAGTGCTGTATCAGATGACCTGGTCTCCACAATCACCCGACCTCAACCCAATTGAGATGGTTTGGGATTAGTTGGACTGCAGAGTGAAGGAAAAGCAGCCAACAAGTGCTCAGCATATGTGGGAACTCCTTCAAGACTGTTGGAAAAGCATTCCAGGTGAAGCTGGTTGAGAGAATGCCAAGAGTGTGCAAAGCTGTCATCAAGGCAAAGGGTGGCTATTTTGAAGAATCTCAAATCTAAAATATATTTTGATTTGTTTAACACTTTTTTGGTTACTACATGATTCCATATGTGTTATTTCATAGTTTTCATGTCTTCATTATTATTATTATTATTCTACAATGTAGAAAATAGTACAAATAAAGAAAAACCCTTGAATGAGTAGGTGTGTCCAAACCTTTGACTGGTACTGTATACACACCATGACCTAATGCTCCCTACAAGATGGCCTTGAGGCAGCTGTTGAAATGTTAACATCCTTTAATAACATCTCACATTGTTGTGTTCTGGGACGTGACATCAGACCCTTCCCGCGGTGATGTCACTTTCACGTGTAGTGGTGTGTGTGAGTTTGTGTGTGTGTGTATATGTAGGTTTGTGCGCGTGTATATACTGTATGTGTGTGAGTATGTGCGTAAGGTAAGCTCAGTTCAATCACAGTGCGCTACAGCACTCCAATGCCCACTAGCAACATAAAGCTCTCACCGTGGCAGGTCTATTTTAAAAAGCTGAAGGTCTCTACCCTGGTGGCATTGTCCTGTTTAAATACCAGGCTTCCTGTCTTAGTGTTAACCCTGCAGCCTGTAGTACCTGCTTCCTTTCACTGTCTCACAGTCACACGCAGGCAGAGCCCGGTCAAGGTATTAGGTATTCTTAACTGACATCACCTTTACTGAGTTCAGTGCAAGGAATAATCAGTATTCATAGGTTTATATTACTACAGTAAACGTTCAGCAAAATGTTGCACACAGAGAAACCGACACGGCGAGAGAGACAGAGATCTGTGTGTGTGCGTGTGTGTGTGTGTGTGTGTGTGCGTGTCTCACTCTGTGTGTGTGTGTGAGACTATCGACTCACCTTCATCCCAGCGGTCTCCGTTGTGATCTTCACTGGGTACGTTGCTGTCACAGTCAGCCCCGTCTGCCAGACTCCCGTCCTCCTCCACGATGTGCAGCTTGTCCTCATCATCTGAATCTGAGCCTGGGGCCTTCACCACATTACTGTAGTTGGTTACTGCGGACGGAGAGAAAGGAGAGGGGTTGGTCATTTCACTGTCTATCAACCATTAATATGATAGAAGTGAGACGTGATTTAAGACAATGAAGATGGAAGGTGCTGTATTGGATGAGAGAACAGTCTGCAGTAGGGATGCAAATTTCAGTCAATTCTGCTGCCGACTAACTGACCTTCAATAACCGGTCAACAAACGGTTACATTTTTCCCAAACAGTAAAATTACGTGACCAACAGAAAATACTATCAGAGATCTGAATATAATGACGAGATGCTTATGTTTCCGCCCTAACAATGGGACTCGTCCCAAAGCAGGAAGGCAGGCGACAAGCTTAGGCCCAAAGTAAGCCCATAGAAACGCTTTGGACATATTTTGGCGAGAGTGAAACCTCTCACTTCGCCTCTTCCTCTCTGATACGTACAGTGCCTTCGGAAAGTATTCAGACCCCTTGACTTTTTCCACATTTTGTTACGTTACAGCCTTATTCTAAAATTGATTAAATTGTTTATTTGCCCTCATCAATATACACACAATACCCCATAATGACAAAGCAAAAACAGGTTTTTAGATTTTTTTGCTAAAAAATATCACATTTATATAAGTATTCAGACCCTTTACTCAGTACTTTGTTGAAGCACCTTTGGCAGCGACTACAGCCTCAAGTCTTCTTGGGTATGACGCTACAAGCTTGGCACACCTGTATTTGGGGAGTTTCTACCATTATCCTCTGCAGATCCTCTCAAGCTCTGTCAGGTTGGATGGGGAGCATTGTTGCACAGCTATTTTTAGGTCTCTCCAGAGATGTTCGATCGGGTTCAAGTCCAGGCTCTGGTTGGGCCACTCAAGGACATTCAGAGACTTGTCACAAAGCCACTCTGGAGTGCTGCAGAGATGGTTGTCCTTCTGGAAAGTTCTCCCATGTCCACAGAGGAACTCTAGAGCTCTGTCAGAGTGACCATAGGGTTCTTGGTCACCTCCCTGACCAAAGCCCTTCTCCCCCGATTTGTTCAGTTTGGTCGGGCGGCCAGCTCTAGGAAGATTCTTGGTGGCTCCAAACTTCTTCCATTTAAGAATGATGGAGGGCACGGGCGGCAGGTAGCTTAGTGGTTAAGAGCGTTGTGCCAGTAACCGAAAGGTCGCTGGTTCTAATCCCCGAGCCGACTAGGTGAAAAATCTGTCGATGTGCCCTTGAGCAAGGCACTTAACCCTAATTGCTCATGTAAGTCGCTCTGGATAAGAGCGTCTGCTAAATGACTAATTATTATTATTATTATTACTGTGTTATTTGGTACCCTTCCCCCGATCTGTGCCTCGACACAATCCTGTCTCAGAGCATTACAGACAATTCCTTCGACCTCATGGCTTGGTTTTTGCTCTGACATGCACTGTGAACTGTGGGACCTTTTATAGACAGTTATGTGCCTTTCCAAATCATGTCCAATCAATTGAATTTACCACAGGTGGACTCCAATCAAGTTGTAGAAACATTTCAAGGATGATCAATGGAAACAGGATGCACCTGAGCTCAATTTTGAGTCTCTTAGCAAAGGGTCTGAATAACTGATGTAAATAAGGTATTTCTGTTTTCTATTTTTTATAAATTTGGTAACATTTCCAAAAACCTGTTTTCGCTTTGTCATTATGGGGTATTGTGTGTAGATTGCTGAGTATTTTTATTTATTTAATGAATTTTAAAATAAGGCTGTAACGTAACAAAATGTTGAAATAGTAAAGGGGTCTGAATACTTTCCGAAGGCACTGTACATGTATACAAGGACCGGACATTTTTCATGAAGAGCTTAATGGAAACATGCAACAATAGCAAGCCTATCGTCTTACAGTCAAAAGACTATAGCCTATTATTGAACATGCAACTCCTGTAATGAAGCAGCTAATAAAATGTTATTTTCAAACATTTGCCAAAATGCAGTTAGCGGAAAACACAGTTCTAAACAGCGCACCTAATGCCAGCAGTTCTATGTGTGACAGAGATGAAAATCTATAGACCGATAAGCATGACCAGTCAAATGTATTTTCGGCAGCTAACCGATTAACGGTTAACCATTAACATCCTTAGTCTCTAGTCTTGGAATATAGTCAATCATAGTTTAGCCAAATCTAGACAGAAAATACGCAAACAAATCAAATGTAGGCTAAAGCCAAAGCACGTCATTACTATCAACCAAGGAAACAGAGCACTCCTGAATGGTATCTTCTCGACACAGAATGGCTTTTCTCAATCCACCTCTCAAAATGCAGTAGTTTTCTCCTGGAGGTGCCCACAGCCAGCTACTGCCATTCCATTTCAGCGTTAGTTTACACAGTGGAATGGGAGATAAGGGGAAATGGGTTTGATTCTGTGTAGCAGCCTAAAGTCTAATTATCTGTGGTATGCTAAGGGATGGGCTAGCCTAGCATAGCACACTGACATACTATTATGTGAAATGGTTATGTACTGCTTATGAATATGATATGTATGGGTTATAAATGTGTAATGAAGTATTCAGACCCATAAGAGGATGTACAGTAAAGGGGAAGATTCATATACTGGGACTCATGTGCTTACTAATAGCCATTAGCCTATAGAAATAGCCTATAGTCAACATAACCTATTCCAAGGCTGCCTACATAGTAAACCGGAACTCTCCCCACCCCCATCCATGTGTACATATTTACCTCTCCATTATTACTAGCAGAGTGAGATGTGTAAGGGTATCTTTCTCTTTCTCTGTGTGTGTGTGTGTGTGTGTTACAGGGTTAGAGCGCTAGGAGGGCCTCAGCCTACAGAGGTGATTATTATCTGCAGCAGGTGTGTGGTTGCTTGCGAGTGCGCTAGTGGTGCGTGGTTCAGCTGTTTGTTCACCCACACCTGCCCGCAATTGCTAATAATCCATCAGCAACCGCCCGACTATATGTGATAAAGTGAAAATCTGAGGCCCGCACCAGACCCTAACCCGCTAATATAGAAAATGCGCTGTAGGCTACAGTCAAAGACTTCATAATGATTCTTTGACAGGGGGTGCAGTTTCTTTTGTTGTTGCTTGATTTATATGTTTCTGCTGATAATTTCAAACATTTTGGTAGGCTATTTGTTAGTCAACTTGTCTATAATTAGATACATGCATCTTCTCTTCTGTCATTATATGTTGTCCTAGAAGACTAAATAAACCCTTGCTCAACAGAATAATGTCATAGATCTATAGAATGAATGCTTCAATCTAGTTGACATCGGTAAAGTTTTCTCTGTCATCTCTGCTTCTTACGCAGAGCAAAGATGTTTAGGTACCGGGAATAAAATGGAATAACAAAACAAAAAACAATATTATTTGTCTGTGCAAAATGTTCTAATGACATCAGTTTGACTGGTTTTAAGGAAATAGAAAGTTGGGAAAACAACCCAACATGTTTCTGATAAGATTTCAGTTCGGCTTGGATGCATATTTTATGTGGTTGAAATATTATCAGCTTGTATGAGGCTGATAAAGACAGCACCTCTACACTCTTAGAAAAATGGGTTCCAAAAGGGTTCTATGGCTGTCCCCATAGGAGAACCCTTTTTGGTGCCAGGTAGAACCCTGGAACCCCAAAAAAATCTTTAAGGTTCTAGATAGCACCTTTTTTTCTAAGTGTACAGACATTTGCATTCTCTCAAGATGCTGAAAGAAAGAAATCATATTTCTCCACTCCTGTTCCCGAGTAAAAATGTTGCCTACATTTGGTGTTTCATTTTACAGTAAGAAATGCTTCATTCTGCAGGAGTTAATATTAAGGCTATGTGAGAGGTCATAGACCTACAGTCAGTGTCCAGATTTCAGTTTCCATTTAACCCATCTGAACAGTAGGCTACAGTTCCTTTGACGTCCCATAGGCCTATTTGAAGTCCTGGTCTTGTGACCGTCGAAATGACTGTCGAAATGTATAGCACCTCACAATCATCACACATAACATCCTCTTTTACCACTTCACCAAAACATTCCCAAACATTACTTCTCTGGCCCTGCCTTCTCTTAATTTCCATCTATCCATTTCGCAGCTTTTCTCTGATTGAATTAAACTCTGACATTGTCCTTTTTGCCTCCGTGTATCGACGTTAACTTTTCTGCCAGTTCCCCAAAGCTTTTGGCACGCATACAGTTAGGCCCTAAAGCTTAAGCTTACACACTAATGCCAGATAGCCTAAAATAATGAAAGAAAAATAAGAATGATACATTTATGGATTTATTAAGGTATTGTTTTTTCTTTATTCAACCGCCACCCACACGCCCTTCGTCCACACAATATCTAATGACCCTTAACCCACCCGCACCTTGGATATAACCGCAGGGACTGCGTGTTATGAGTCAACCCGTGCATCACTAGTGCGCGCATGTGTGTGTGTGTGCTATTGAGCTTTACAGTCATGAGAGTAATCACACTTCATACTGCCTCTCGTCTCCTTTCATTTAAACCTGTTTCTCCATCTCTCTCTCTCTCTCTCTCTATTCCATCTGTGGTCACCCCCTCTCTCTCACTCTCTCTTTCCATCTCTTTTTCCCCAGCTCACAGCACTGTGCCTCTCTCAGTCCAAATCAATTCTCCTCTGAGAGGTGCCCAGTCAGCAGTGGGCTCAAGCTGCTGCGCCGAAACGCAGATCACACACCTACACACACAACACAACCACCCACACACACTCCCTCCCCAGCCCATACTCTCTGGCCTTATCGCCCACATTTACATTAAGCTGATTTGGTGGTTCTCTCTTTCCTAACCCCACTACATCTCTCTCCCTCTCTCTCACTGTCTCTCTCTGTCTCTCTCCCCTTCTGGAGCATAGTGGTGGATGATGATAATGTGGAGATGCGGCAGCCTGTGGCTGGGGAATGATATTCTATTAGAATCTGTAAGAATAGTTCTGCAGAGCTCAGAATCACAGGAGGTTAGTTTTCTGCATAGAGTACACATGGTTGATATTCACAGAGACTCCCCATAGGCACACACACAGCTCAGGAAGAGGGGGAT